ATTCTGTCTTTTTTAAAGACAAAAATTTTTGAGGCGAAATACCCAAAAAGAAGTTTGTAAAAATGAATCCGCCTCAACAATATAGAACTTATCCACTTATTTATTTATGCACGAAAATGAGATTGTCCGCTGCTATTTGCTGCTAAATCATGTTTTAGGTATCAACAATTTATAACTCCACATGCCAAATTTACGTTAAGACACATAATAATTGTGTTTTTCGCAAAAGTTTGAGCATCTTTTCTAACGGTGCCAATATCTAGCGCGTCGATAGAGGATGTCAGATGTCTCTTTCAGGCGGTGTTGCCACGTGCTTTTGCGTTGTTTTCCGTTTGGTCAATTTTGAGTTAGTTTATTTGTGTTAGCATGGTTGAAGTTATTTTTTTAATGAATCTCAAAAATATATACAGAGTCAAAATTACTAACCTGAAAATACCTAAATAATCTAAACGGGCCCAAATTGAATGAACCTCGTTAACTTGAAACGTTTTGCTCAGTTTGGCAACACCACTCGAAATTTAGCCTGATAAATTGTGATTTTGCTCGAACTTTGGCTTAATTTATGGACATCCAGGAATTTTTTTTGCTGAAACTGCTTAATTTTATGTGTTCTTTAAGATGAAACAAGAAAAAACTAAAAATTTGGAGGGACTCAAGCGACACGAACACCTTTTCTTCTGGCAAAATGGCGGCGTATTTACTAAATGAGGAGGAATCTGTAAATGAACTTGTCTTTATCTATGGTTCTGTGTTCTGTGGGAAAGAACGGTTAGTCTGTGGAACGGATCAAAACAAATATGTCTGCCACTATAATTACGAAACAAGTATCCAGTGTGTTTAGACTTAGTTAGAGATGTGGTTTTAATCCAGTAGATGTTTGAATTGGTAATTTAAACTGTTAATAACATACTGAGTGGTAAGTCGATGTATTTCAAAACTTTGGGAAACATCTGTTTGGGCCCGCCTCTCTCAAATCGGGAATGAATAAACAAGAAGCGGTGCTTTAATTAACAGCAAGCACAACATACCATAATCAAAGGGGCTCTATATAAATAATGACTAAAACATGCAAGGTGAAATAGCTAGCTTTCTTGTACAGCTCGCTTGCTCCTAATAAAACTGTAGAAGTAGCGAAGGAGCTCTTTGTCAATTGCGAACTATTAATTAAAACTTGAAGTTCTACGTTTATTCTTAAAATGCAATTAAAAATCTGGCAGTTTTCAGGCCCGGTGTCTGTTGTACATTCGGCGATTTTTCTGAAAAAGTCCTGCAAATCTTTTTAGAATGGCATTTGATGCGAATGTACCATTTAAATGGTGAGTATCCACGTATCATGAATACCTATTCCATGACCTGTTGAATTAGTGCTTAATATTTCTGCATTTTCAGCCAGGAAATTTCGGCGGTCAATTGTGCTGAACCAATATGCATCAGCAACGAGGAAGAGTGTGTCAAAGATGCAATTTCATCAATTGTAATAGCTCGGGTGGAGACGGTCGCTGAAGACGACACCGAGAGCGAAAATTCGCCTTTAAGCGCGACCGTTAATGAGCCTCAAAGACCCGAAAGCGCCAAACGAGCCAGAATCTCCTTCAGATGTGACATCTGCAGTTTTTCTACCACCACCCGATTTTCCTTAGCTAGACACTTGGAGACTCACAAGCAAAGCGCATCAATCGCCGCAATTAATGCTAATGAATGTCCAGCTAGTAATGTTGCAGACGTTGAGCCAACCAATCCACCTAGTGCGACCTCGCAGCCAGCAAAGCAAGTAAAAATTAAGATCTTCAAATGCAGCCATTGCTCATTTTCCTCCAAGTTTCATTTCATAATGAAAAAACATCTGTTGACTCACTTGAATAGGCCAACCAATTACACGTGTCGCTACTGTCCCTTTGAAGCCAAGTCCATCAGGGTTTTGCTGCCTCATCTAGTCAACAAGCACCGCAATTATAACGAAACTTGTCCCAGATGTCTGAAACTCGTCTCTTTGCAATTGAAAAATGAGCATTTGCAGGTTTGCAAAGTGCGGAATCCCACGTTACTGTGCTCTCACTGTCCTTATAAGACGTTCAATCGGAAACAGTTAGCCACACATCAGAGAAATTGTCCCAAGCATCCCAGGAAAGTGTTAAAATGTGACTTTTGTTCTTTCACGAGCAAGTGTGAGCGCTCGCTACGGGACCACACTCTTTTACATACAAAGTATAATAGGCCCATCTACGATTGTCCCCACTGCGACTACAAATCGACCAAAAAGAACTATGAGAATCATATAAAGTCCCAGCATGATGGCCAACCGGAAAGCCAAGAGGAGTCGAAACCTAAGCTGTTCAAGTGCTCTCAATGTCCTTTTACTGCAACAGTGCCGTCTGTTTTCAACAGACATTCTTTGACGCACCGCCATGTTTCGAGGGACTTTAAATGTAAACTTTGCTCGTTTAAAGGCATAAGTAAAAAGTCCCTGCAGACTCACCTGGGTGTCACCCACAAGAAACCCGGCCTGAAGTGTTTGCGTTGCCTGCGTAAGGTGCCTTCACACCAGCTAGCGAAACATAATCTCACGTGCGACGCGCCTGATCCTCGGATAACTCACATCAAGATCGAGAAGGATGAAGATGAATATGACGATCAAAGCAGCAGCGAGGCGAATTCGTTTAACTGCGATTTTTGCAACAACAGTTATTCTAAATTGGAGGCTCTGGAGCGGCACCTGAAATGCCATGGCGAGCAACTTTTTAAGTGTCCAATCTGTGAGTACCGAGCGACTAAAAAGAGTTTAACGAAACACTTTGAAGATGTTCACCTGGAGCAGCTGAGCGCTGAATGTATTCAAAGGCCCATCAAACAAGAGCAAACCAATATAGAAAAGAAGCAATGGTCTTGTGAATTTTGCTCGTTCAGCTCCATTTATTCATTCACAATGAAGCAGCATCGATTACATCATACCGACCTGAATAAACCGATTATCAGCTGCAGCCACTGCGACTACAAGTCGATCAAAAAGATCGTCGAGAAACACTCCATGGTTGTTCACCAAGTCCCCTATAACTACCCTCAAGGCAGATCAGGCACAATCATCAAGAAAGAGCCTGATCAAGGCACCCGTGAAATTCAATATGTATGCGAAAATTGCGACTACTCCACTTCTTCCAAAGAAGTCCTCGTCCAGCACAAACTGAGCCGCTGCAGGAGCAACACAGCTTCCAATACCGGCAACAATAAAACTTGCAATTCGTGCCAACGCAGTTTTTCAGCGAACCATATTCACAAGTGTCGTGCGGGTACCAACCGGTACCGGATTAGTAACGAATGTGGATCACGAGTGTTTCGCTGCAACTGCTGCGAGTATAAGACGATGGGAAGACGTAACATCAATCGCCATTGGACAAAGTATCATCAATCCATGAATCATCTATTCAATCAGAATGCAACTTTCAAGTGTGAAACCTGCGATTTTCAGACAAATTTGGAGGACAGTTTGCAGAATCACCAGGTTTTGCACATCAACATAAAAAAAGTAAAAGTCTACAAGAGTGACACCTATAATGTGGAAATGGCCAACGAAAATGCTGATATGAGTGAGGAAGGAAGTGACTGAATCTTACTTAATTTAGTTAGTATGCGTTAAGATATGTATTATTATTGTTATAGGCTAGTTTTTTTCAATTATAACTGCTTAACAATGCAACCACATCCCGCAGCTGTTTAGGCCTAATTTAAAACACGATTCCAGGTGGCGCCTGTAAGATTTAAAGCTCAAAGTTGTTTAGAAAATTCATGAATCGAAACATTAATATTTTAAATAGTAGTATGGGAACACTTCAGATTTATCGTCTTAAGTTTCTTTCTACCACGCAAAGTATATGTATGTTAGAGGAGTAATCATGTTTTCTCACCCTAGTTCGCTCGTTCGTTCCAAAAGGAGTTATATTGTTACTTATTTTCTAAATTTAGCATTTAAAAATAAATATGATCGTATTTCTGTATCATTAGTTTTACTTTATTATCATGAGAACAGTCGCAGCTTGCAGAGCAAGCGTTAATTCTTTAAATAGATGCAAAATGCACAAAAGATCCTGGACTTCATACGCACCCCGATAATTTTACATATCGCTCAAACGCCAATTTTTTAAATTTCTAAATACACAATCCCGTCTTTTAGTAAGTGAATCATTCTAATTGAGGCAGTGTCTAACAATTGCCACGGACAAAAGTCTGAAAACTGTGACTTGTTAGTCAATTTAGTTATTATTCCTGTAAGAAAAAAGTTGAGTGTATTGATTGTGTCTTCTAGCTACAAAAAATATTGGGAGATCGATGCTAAGTTCTTTAGTTTAAGTTTGCATAGTTGAGTTTAGTTGTGCAAGCTTCAGCTGATATACGGTGCTTCGCTTTTATGCTGAGCGATCACTTACATAGATAAAGACTGAAGCTACAATTTGAGTACTTTTTTATATTTTTCGAGTTATCGTGAGTCAAACGAGACCGAAAATGACACCGTCTAAATACCACGCAACAACCCCTAATTGTCGCCGAACACGGCATTTTTCCGAAAAAAATTTCAAACAAAAGGTGTGCGGAATGGGAAAAGCTATCATTTGTTAGCACTTTTATATTTTTCACTGGATCGAGAGCATTGGCGTCATTATTAAGTTGAATCACTTCTTGGTTTTTGTGGAGGTTGTGGTAAAGCTACGGAGTTTTCCATTGGAGGGAGAACAGCCACTGAACTCAAGGGGGGAGTCATAACCCCCCCCCCCATTCAATTCTCTATCCAACTATACCAAAACGAATTATCTGGCTCAAATAGTTCTTGAAAAACTTCGAAAAAAGCAGCATTATGTTCAAGTGGATTTTGCAACTCAAAAAAAAACCACGCAAATCTAAAACTTCTTGAATTCAAGCATTTTTTGACAAAACTGCCAACATTTCCTGATCGATGGTTCACTTGCAAAAAAGGCCATTTAGTTCTCTCTAGAATGACGTAGAAATGAGCGTTCTTGCTCATTTTGCCTCCGAGAAATGAGCAAAAACGCGACGGAAAACATGGAATTATGGCATAATCTTGCACCGAAGTGTCTGATATTCAAATTTCGCTTTCTGGGTCAAAACTACTCGAATTTCCTCCCTAACATTGTTACGACTGAATCGACTTTTCAATTCTCTATCCAACGATGCCAAAACGAACTCAAAAGAAACCACGCAAATCTAAAACTTCTTGAATTCAAGCATTTTTGAGAAAACTGCCAACAATTCCCCATCCATGGTTCACTTTCTAAAAAGGCTATTTATTTCTGTCTAGAATGATGTACAAATGAGCGTTCTTGCTCATTTTGC